TAGAGATTTTAAATAATTATCGAATTGGGTTAGTTTTGCCTTCACAGATGCTCGTTTTTTAATTAATGTTTTAATAGTATCCTCGTCTTGTGACATTTTTTACCGCTTAAAATATTTTCGTATAAATAAATCGTATAAATCGTATTAAATCGTATTAATCGTATTGTAATAATTACTATAATCGCATAAATTCAACTCTTTAATAATGAAGAATTAAAACAAATGGCATTTCTATTTATTTCTAAATTCGTTTGTTTACTTTGAATATCCCATAAACGTATGTAATTTGCCCAAACCCCTATGTAAGGACTACATAAAGCTTATTTTTGATTGTGATCCAAACACTAACCAAACACAACGAAACCAGCTGAAAGGAACTTATACAAATCAAATAAGGAAGAGAGAAATGAATAATTATACTCGCCCGCTTCATTGACGCTGCTATATCCAATCGAATCTTGCACACTTTTTTCGCATATTGCACAGAATTTAGGTTGTTTTCAATCAAAACATCAAGTAAAATGCACTAATATCCATTCGAAGGACCATGAATTTGTGTAATGAACTGTTAGACACTGGTTTTATACTTTTATTACATTTTAAATGCGAAAATGAACATAAAAACGGGAGCGACGCTCACCTTAAATCGCATGTTAATGTTCTCAATCGTGAATCGTGAATGGCAACCACACAAAAGTCTTTTTTGGGTGTAGTGAATTTCGGCGTAGTGAATCTGGGCGGAGTGAATCTCGGCGTAGTGAATTTTCTGTCTCTTTCTCAGTGTAGTGAATTTTATTACAGGGTCGGCGTTAGGCCCAAACAGTATGAAACTAATAGAAATTGAAAAAGAATAATCACATTAACCAAGTAATAATTAAACATGTTTTTCTGTTAAATTTGGATAGCTACCCTTGGAATATGTTTTTAACATACTATACCTATTTAAGTTCAGAGTATGTAAATCATTGGTAATACTGCATTACCGTACAACACGTAACGTACAACTAAATAATATTAGTAACAGGAATACTTACATGTCCAAGATTAGCTTTACAGCTAGCAAAACTAGTTATGTGACAATTAACAGGTTATTTGTGATAAAATTATTGAATATTAAAAATTGTAAAAACTGGTTCGAAATAGGCTTGTTACTTGAGAACTTCCTAGTTTGTCCTGGATTCCCAGTTCATCCATGATTAGTTCGAAATGCCAATCAGTCCCATGTGGTTTCCAAACTTTAACACCCAACCAATAAAAAAATATATATTTGCTCATTTGCTAGTAAGTTAGCACACCCATTGCAACTATCCAGCGCCCATAAACCAACCCTTTGGCATAATTAGACCAACATAAAAAAAAAACCTGAAACAAAAGTTTAGGCTCACAACCTGAATCTGACAGCTAGATTCTCAAAAATTTACCTCATTAGGCCCAACACCACCCTAATAAATAATCTCCTGACATCAGCTCAGCACCATATAAGGAAGCAACGCCATGTTAGCTCGGAATCCTGAAAACGTTGGTGTAAAAATGTGTACGCGTCAGGGTTGACAAAACTCACCGAGATAATCCGGAAAGATCAGCACCATCCTGACTTCAATCAAGCGAAAATTAGGCTCACTTGCCTTGTTTAAATAAAAGGCGAAATTTCTTGCCAATATTTTGGACAATTTTCCAAAACTTTCACAGAAAATTCACTGGTCGTTTTTTTTTTTTTTTTTCTTTCAAGAGGCAAAAGAACGACTACCATCGACCAAATCTAGATGGTAAGTGATCCACCAAAATCAGGTGTCTCTCCATGTCAAATTTTTCGATGACTTCACCTGTCATGAAATTTGCAAAAGAACCCTTAGGCGCAATTCACACAGGACGGGCGCGTGGTGGTGACGTGGGACTGACGTGGTGGAGCTGTGGAGCGGACGTGGCGCGCTCAATCCACATAGAAGCGAATCGAGTCCGATTTTTGTCATTCAGTTGTTAACATCGTAGTGACATTTGAACAGAAGTGAAAATGTTCTCAGATGACGACGAAGATGATCTGCATATATTGAACCTTGTAAATTTAGCAAACATGCAAAGAGAAAGAAGATACTGGGTACATCCATTGTGGTTAGATAAAGGAAAAAGTAGTGGTGCGTTTAACGTTATGAGGGAGCTCAACATGTACCCTGAACGTTTTCAAAGTTTCTACCGAATGTCTACAGACTGTTTCCATAGAATATTAAGTTTAGTAAGAGTTGATCTAGAAAAAAAATCTACGAATTGGAGGGAACCTGTCAGTCCAGAGGAGAGGCTGTTAATAACGCTGAGGTAAGTTGAAAAAAAATATATTAAAGTAACTTCATTTATTTAAGTTTAATACAAAATAAAAAATATATGCTGATAGTGTTATTTCTAAAGTACTAATTGTTGTATTGGATGAATTCATTCATATTGAAAGGTTCCCTTGAGACTTCCGTGTTCCCTTGGGAAGTAGAATTTAGATTTCTGTCCATTGAATGGGTACTCCAACAGGAAGGCCTCCCTGATAAGTTATTTCCTTGCGACGGTGAATTCAAATTTGCGTTCACTGAGTCCTGACTACAAGACTGAGGGACATTCGTTGGTGGAGCAGGAAATGCAGAAGTGGTGCAGGAGAGTATTTGCTCGGACAAATTCAAAATTCCCAATTTGAAATGTCGCTTCTGGGTACTGTTCATAGACTTCATGTCCGGGAGAACATTGTGTAAAAACGCCAAGTCAGGGTCCTGGGGCTCGATTGTGGTGTTTCTCTTCTTAGTCGTGTTTTGACTCTCCAACATGTGTTGTTTTTTTTTTCAAAATACTGACAAGCTTGGTTGTAAACTTCATTGATGGAGGTGGCGGAGACCGGTAACTTCTTTCTTTTTCTAAAATCATCTCTATTGGTGTTTCAGGTATTTTTATTGATAACGGCTGAGTATAATTGGAAGTACTGGGGGATGGTAGAGGTGAATGAGAGGAAGCCATCGATAAAATACTGTTATTATCAAGGGACAACACCTCAGCACTGTCGCTATTAGCTTCGTGCTCACTCGTGCCTGCCTCCACTCCATCTGATAATGTGTCCGACTCTTCATCCATGTTCCCTCTGCTTTTGCGAGATTTCAAGAAAGGATACAAAAAGAGAAGATGTGGAGCCAGATAATATTCTTTAACTCGCTTAGCTCCCTGTCCTGATTTTGTTTTTAGTTTTGCCTTATATTTTGAATAGCTGCCTCTTAGGTTTTTCCATCGGTCTTTGCACTCGGTCACTGAAACAAATTTAAAATATAGATATACGCTACCAAAACTTGGTTTCTTGGACAAAGTAAACTTTAAGTTATAGTTCTATCATTTAGGAAGGTTCAAGGAAATTAATAAAACTTGTATCCAGTCGATCCCCCTTATTGAAACAACTAATTTAATAATATACAAAAATCAGAGAAGTTTCATGTTAACAATGATACATTTTTTTATTTACAGGTACTTCGCTTCTGGATGTTCCTTCAAAGCGCTCTCTTTCTACTTCCTGAGAGGTCATTCTACTATACAAGGAATCGTGCATCACACCAGCCAAGTCATATGGGAGAAATTACAACCTGTATATATGCCAAAACCTACAAGAGCTAAGTGGAAAGAAATAGTACAGCGTTACTATGAACTATGGAATGTCCCCAACTGTATTGGTAGCATAGATGGTAAACATATACGAATAAAAGCACCACCACGGTCGGGGTCTGAGTTTATCAACTATAAAGGGTTTTTCTCTATTGTCTTGCTAGCAGTGGCAGATGCAGATGGTCGATTTGTAACAATCGATGTAGGTGAATTCGGGCGTAATAGTGATGGAAGAGCATTGAAAAATAGCAACTTCCCCTCTCTAAAAATTTAATGAGGCCCTTTTCTCGAAGATAATTGAACGATAACGAACAAAAGATTTTCAATGTCAGGTGCTCGAGAGCACGGAAATCAGTGGAATGCGCTTTTGGTATGCTAACAACGAAGTTCGGACTTCTACAGACACTTCTTCGATGTTACCCTGGTAACATCGATGTTCTAATTCAAGCAATGTGTCTGTTGCACAACGCTATCAAGGAGTGCGATGGCACATTTTCAAGACCAGTACATGAAAACGTTATCGTTGGCGACGTCACTCCAATACAATCACAAAACGCTAAATGTATGAGAATTTATCTAAGCAAGTATTTCAAAGATCGCGCCCCAATTCCCCATCAGGATAGATATTGTGTATGATTTTTTTTGTGTTAATGTTAACATTATTAATATGAGCAGTTAATAAACAAGTACTTACCATTTGCACTGAATTTCTTAGCTATTTTTTCCCATGACTGGTCTTGCACACTTCTGTTGCAATAATCCGATCGTTTATAATCGTATAAACTTGCATACTGTTGCACTTCTTCGCAGAACTCTATATTAAATTGAAAATCGTCCCGTATTTTCGGATAAAATCGAAAAACAACACTGAATTCCTATGGCATGTGTCACTCGTGTAGGCTTCTCATGGCACCGAAGTGGCGTGGCGGTGGTGGGAGCAATCACGCCAGTTCCATGTCACCTCTATGTGAATTGTCTTATAGGCTAAAGGCCGTCACACACACTTTTGCATAACGCATAAGCATAAGCTTCAACCAATCACGGGTTTTATTAGAGGTCACCTGATTTTCAGCTGTCAGGTTGGCATAGGAATTTCCATAAGGATAGATATTTTATGCCCCTATGCTATGCGTAGCCAATGAGATTTTGTTTAGTTGTCACGTGTACAAGTGTCGTTGTCATGTCAATAGAAAATTGAAAACATCATAACCTTAGTTTTATCTGTTTTGTTTTTGTTTTGTGCCCAATTTATTCTTATTTTCATTTTTGGAAAGGAAATAAATAAATCAACAGGAAAATACAGGTATGTAATGTAGTACATTCTTAAATAGAAAACTTTTAAATGAAAATAATAAATTAGGCACCAGCTAGACGTTTTGAAAATGGAAGATCATCGCTATTATGCATCTCCTTTTCAAGATGATACTGAAAACATTTTTCAAGAAGAAGTCCTAGATAATTCAGAGAATAGAAATTTTGATGAACTTCTAATTGATATGGTCAAAGGTTATCCTCATTTATATAATAAAGCTGATACCAATTTTAAAGATGCCCTAATGAAGGAAAATTCTTGGCAGGAAATTGCCAATGTTTCAAATGCTTCTGGTAAGCATAGAAATGTGATTTTTTGTCAATTTATTTACCTACTCTATTGTTTAATTTAAGTGCTTGATTGTAAGAATCGGTGGACTCGACTCAGAGAGAGGTTCTCACGAGAAAAAAAGAACATAGAGGATGAATTCCGAAGTGGCAGTGGTGCTTCACAAAGACAAAAATGGCTGTTGTATACCAATATGGAGTTTTTAAAACCTTTTGTGGCTGGTAGAAAGTATGTTATTGTAATTTTATTATGGCGTGTCTATGGTTTAATTATTTATCTATTTTTTTCATATCAAGGACAGTTACAAATATTGTCAGAACTGATGTCTCAAATCAATTGAAGATTGACAATGTCTACACTCAAAATAGTGAAAATAAGAAAGTACATGTTTCTCTTGATAATTCTACCATTGAGGAGCAACCAAAAATAGTCCCTTCAACTTGCATTAACAAAGAAAAAGCATCAGAAAAAGCCATACGACCATGCTTCAAGAGACAGAGGGTACAAGATAATGTGGATTTATCAATAATGAATTTATCTGCGGCAGTGACTTCACATATTAGTTCACAAAAATCACAACCATCATCATCACAAAGATCGGATGATTTGTTTGGCAATTTAATTGTAGAAGAGCTTGCCAAATTGGATGAACCACAGAAGTCTCAGAAAAAACGTGAAATACTAAAGGTACTATATAATTATTGATTATTCTCAATTATGTATTTAATTTGTTCTATAGAATAGAAACAAAAATTACTTTTGATATTTTTTTTTATGTTTGAAACTAGGTTCCCATGTATTATTAGAAAGAAATTTATTTTTGTTATAAGGTATATATTTTATGAAATAGAAATACTTACCTTGAGACTTAGATATAGGGTGTAGTTTGGCAAGAATACATTTTTAGTTCATTTAAAAGCTAAACTACTTAGAATTGATGAGATGTCATTTGAGTTCCTATTTGTTGTGATTTACCTACTATATATTTTCGTAGAAATAAAGATTTTGTTATTTTTTATTGCTTTAATTTATCAAAATAAATTTTACCCAGAATTCCTACAATCTAATAATAAATAAAACAAATCCAATACAAAAAAATTGTTAATTGTACACATTTTCCAATTTTTGTTTTTGGGCTTGATACATAATATGTACACAAACTGACCTAAGTATTTCACCTCTCCTGACATAGTCTTCCTGCCATGGAACCTGCCCTGCAGGAGTCGAAAAGTAGTCGGCTAAGGTATTTCTCACCGAGTATGCTTCTCGTGTTGAATTGCGGCTTCTGGTAGGAGGAATACCTTCAAGTGAACTTGTTTGTCTCCATTCTCCTAACTCCACTTCTCCTTGTTCTGTTTCTCTGTCGACAAAGGTAGGTGGGCAGTAAAGCCGCTCATTCAATTTTTTCTTTTCATTTTCCATCATTAAAAAGTTATGTAAACAAACTGTGGCCATGATTATTTTGTCAACATTTTCTGGATGTAAACATATGGGCTTGCGAAAAATTTTCCAACGTGAAACTAAAATTCCAAATGTATTCTCTATTGTTCTCCTTGCTCGGCTTAGCCGGTAATTGAAAATCTTTTCCTTGTTTGATAAATTTCTACCAGGGAATGGCTTCATCATATGGAGGGATAATGCAAAGGCATCATCTCCTACAAAATATGCAGGTGTTGCCAAATTAGAATTTTGCAATTTTGAAATTCCATTTGGTATAGACAGGGTGTTATTTAAAATGCCTTTCCCAAATTCTGATTCAGCAAAGACCCCAGCATCATTATTGCTTCCATAAGCTCCTACGTCTACCGTGGAAAATTTGTATTTGGCATCGCACACTCCCATGAGAACAATGCTGAAAGACTTTTTGTAATTAAAATACTGGCTTCCTGAATTGGGTGGTGCTTGTATTTGAACGTGCTTTCCATCCACAGCACCAAGACAGTTTGGCATATTCCATATTTCCATAAAATCTTTCATTCTCTTTTCCCAGATGTTAATATCTGGCTGAGGAATAACTTTGTGCAACAAAATGTCACTTATAATTTCGCATGTGTCTTTGATAATTTTTAATGCAGTGGATTCTCCTATCCTATATGCCATAGCAATAGATAATGGTTGGTCTCCTGTGGCAAGATATCTGAAAATTGAAATTTGTAAATTATAATAAAGGTAGGAAATAAAATAAGTTTGTGTTTCACTACTACATTATAAAAATAAAACTATAAATATATAGTAAGTAATCTTTTAATTATTGAACATTTCTCTTCACTTTTAAACAAAAAACTATGTTTTCTTACCTCAATGTTATAATCAATCTGCATTCTGGCGAAATAGCTCTCCAATTTGCCTTTTGTAATTTGGGGCGCAGCATTTCTAACAAAGAATTAAATGTTCCAATATCCATCCTGCAGTACCGGAAAAAAAGATCAGGATCATTTTTCAGTTCTTGAAAAAGGTGATTGAAATCCCCCTGTTTTTCTCGTTTCTGATTTATTGGCCTAGTCCACCATCTTCTAGTACGCCACTTTTTATTCTTTCGTTTTTTCAAATATAAGCAGCAAATAAGAGTTACCGCTGCATAAACAAATAGGTCGTCCATGGTTGACTTAAAAAATGCCCCCAGAAACGGCTTACAAATTGAAATAGCTTTTTAATCGTGATATACTATAATCAACAACAACCTTGTGCAACGTGCAACAATCATCAATTAAATAACAATAACATATAAATATGAAATATGCGCATGCTCAGCGAACGCATTTTTCTGATTGGTCAAGAGTTTCATGCTATGTATTTGCCTGTGTGATAAACTCGCCATAACGTAACAAAATTATGGATTATGGGCTATGCTATGCGTTTTGCAAAAGTGTGTGTGACGGCCTTAACGTGCGGGTGGCATATGCCCGTACTACGCCAGTCCCACGCCACCACCACACGCCCGTTCTGTGTGAATTGCGCTTTAGAATAGCGTTTTCCAAAGATGTACCAGATAGTGATCGAAACCGAAAAATCAAGAGTAGTGCAGAACACACCGAGAACAGCTGACCGACTCGATCCGAACAAACCGACCTTGTTTACTAACTTTAATTATTTACAAATGAAGTGCCTATATTTACAGCTCATGTGATACATTGCGTACATAAGAAACTTAATCAAATTAGGTAAGTATACCTACATGGTAAGAAACAATAAAAGCACTTGTAGCCAACTTCATTTTCCTAAGAAATTGCAACTGCTACAATATGTGAATGCCCATAAAAAAATAAAGTCAATTCTGATACTTACTAACACCCATCTTAACTCAGGAACACTCAATAACGATAAGTAAAATCCCCACACCAGACTTTCGTCACAGATAATGATATTATAACTAATCAATCATAAAAATTAGTAAAGCCCCTACATTGGGTTTTCACCATGGATAACGATATTATAACTAATGAAATATTGTCGAATTTGAATTGATCAATCATTAATTTAAAATAATGCCTAAAACTACACAATTATTATCTTTTAAGCTGATCACCATGGAAACTTTCTTGATAGTTTTTCAAATTAAATGACTGGTTATACAGGGTGTATGAGGTATGAGTAGAAATATCCCAACAAGAGAGGGCCAATTCAAAGCTAAAATTGTCCTATTAACCATGGATCAATAATTGTTAGTGTTTTCGGGGTTATCGCAGAATTTGAATTTAGAAAGATGTTAACAATGTGATAACATTGTACCTACAGATATTTAGCTACAGGGCAGAAGAAATAAATGTAAACAAAACAAACAAAAAATCAATTATTGTTTTTGACTAAAAATGCATAATTACTTAATAATTAAATAAAATTAATTTTCTTACATCTCATTATGAATAAAATTTTCTTTATCTTTCGTCAAAAAATGCCAAAACAAACTCATTTTCGTTAAAAGTAGCTGAGTTTGGATCCTATAAACTTTTTTTTTTCAAAATGGGCCAGATCCTCAGGTGATAAACTCTTTGTAGTCAAACCTGATACACCCTGTATGCGTCGAAATAGGTTGACAAAGTAGATCCGTTTGAAACTCAACTTCATTGAAAATTTTTTTGTGCATTGCAGACCTAAACAAATCAACATCTTTAATTTAAATGCTCTTGATCCTCTTCTGTCATATAAGTCATCAGAGGAGTTGTAATGTCTTTTCAAATCCTAGGCGAAATAACTGACAACCCAATTACGCGCTGGTTAATGTGCTGCTCACGTGATCCACGAGAATGCTCGCTTGGAATTCGGCACAGGGTACGAAACCAGAATCGATCAATAAGAACTCTGGTGGTGGTTTTTTTAAATTTTAGTTCGCCATGGATTTGAATACACTTTAGGAAGTTGTGATGTTATCATCCCATATCAACTCAGAATTGATTTTAGCAATATAAGAGGAATAAGTACAAATATGAATTCAGTTCACCAACATCTTGAAGAACAAAGACCTGACATCCTTGTTCTCACTGAAACTAAAATCAGTTCTGCAACACCTATTGTGAACTATCTTTATCCCGGCTATGACCTACACCACCGATTTCGACATAATTTTGGGATCTGTGTGTACATTAAAAATGACCTTTCATGTCATCGAGAGGAGAAGCTAGAACCAGCGAACCTTGATATCATATGGCTAAAATTCACCTCAAAGTCATCGACCAAGTTTATCTGCTGCCTCTACCGACCGCCATCTAACGCCGAGTACCAAAACTTTTTCGCGACATTATCCGAAAGCTGTGATAGTATACAGTCAAACTATCCACAGGCGGAAATTGTCTTTTTAGGCGATTTCAACGTCCACAATATACCCTGGCTGAAACACCACAACAAAACAGATAACGAAGGCAGAGAAGCAGAAGCTTTTGCCATAAGTTGTGGTCTAACGCAGCTTGTCGATGAACCTACCCGTATCTCAGAAAGGGGCGAATTTGCAGCGCTTTTAGACTTGTTCCTAACCACAAATCCTGACTCGTACACAATTCAAGTAGATGCTCCACTTGGTTCGTCCGATCATAAACTTATAATAACAAAGTGCGAAATGCTCATCCCACCAAGCCAACAACCACTTCCTCGTAAAATGTGGCACTATAAATCGGCAAAATGGAATGACCTAAAACAGTTTTACCTGGATTTTCTATGGCAAGAGGTTTGCTTTCAAACAGCTGATCCCACTATTTGCTGTAATGAAATAACACAAGTAATCTTATCTGGAATGGATGCATATATCCCACATACAACTAAACGTAGAGCTAATGCAAAACCTTGGTTCAACAGCCAGTGTCAAACGGCTGTACAGAAAAAACACAGAGCATATAACCTTTGGAAACGACAACAAACCGCTCAAAACCACACAGAATTTATAGAAGCCAGAAATAGTTGCAAAATTACTATTGACTCCGCTAAAGAAACATACAATCAAAGAATAAAAAACAGGTTGCTGAATTGTCCAAGTAGTTCTAGGTCCTTTTGGTCTCTTGCAAAAGCTGTTGGATCTAACTTCACCAAGTCATCCATACCACCACTTACAGATAAAAATAATCACTTAGCCACAACATCAGAGGAAAAAGCCAATATGCTGGCCCAAATGTTTTCCTCCAACTCCAACCTAACAGTGCCAAACGGAAAAACTCCACCGTTCATTGAAAGGGTTTCCCATAGTATGCCAGAGGTACCCTTTTGTCACAGAGAAATACGAAAATCCCTTAAAAAGCTAGATACAAACAAAGCAATGGGTCCGGATGGCATTCCCGCAATAGTACTCAAAAATTGCGCCAAC